GCAGAAACGAAGGGGCTGCTCCCTCCCCGGGGGCGCGATGACCAACGGGCCCAGTAAGTGCGGGAGCAGGCGCTGCCCAGTGCTGCAGCTGGTCAGTGCGCCCCCCCCCCCACAAACGCTGCGTTTCCCAGATCGGAAGAGACGGGAATGTGAGCCGGGGGGCTCTCGCCACTGACGACTTCCTCGCGAGCCGAATGCAGCGCCTAGTCTGCCCAGGTGCGGGGTTGGGGGCAAAGGACCCTGCAAGAGCCCCCCGAGTCCAGCGTGCACCTCCGCCCTGGCCTTTCCCCGCGGCGCTGGCCGGCCAGCGAGGTGCAAAGGACGCCGCAAGAGCCGACCACCCCCCCCCCCCGAGACAGGCGACTCCGCGGGAGGGCTCGGGCCATGCCCGGAGGGACCAGGGCAACTGGACCAGGCAGCGGCGCTGGCCGGGGGCGCGCGCCCGGCACGAGCCCGAGTCCCGCGCGCCAACCCGGCACCGCGTGGCCCACGAGCACCGTGGCGGGAGAGGCGGGGGGAAGGTCACCTCCGGGGGGGCACGCTCGCGACCCTGCCAGTCCCGGGGGCTGGCAAGACGGGGGGCGCGGGGCCCGCAGGCGCGGTGGCGACAGCCGGGCGGAACGCGGGGCCCCGGCGGCGGCAGGGACGCCCCCCGGGCCGCCCGCACTCACTCTTGTCCAGGGGCCGGGTCAGCTCGGCCCCGACGTCGCCGTCGGCGCTGGGGCCCTGGGGCTTCACGGTCAGCGGCACGAAGAGGGACGTGTTGGGGGCTCTGGAGCCCCCCGAGGCAGAGGAGGAGTCGGAGGCGAGGGCGCACGCCCGGCCCGCAGCCGCGGGGAAGGGCCCCCGGGGAGCGCGGAGGGCCGAGCAGACGGCCGCCCGGTGGCCCGGGGGGCGCCCCGCCGGCAGCCGAGCCCACCACAGGGCGCACCGGGGTAAGGACATGGAGGCCGCGGGCCCTAGAGCAGCGGCTGCGGCAGCCCCGGGGCACGGGGGTGGCGCGGTGACGCACAATGCGCGCGCCGACTGTACGGAAAGACCCAGGCCGAGGGGGGTGTCCAGGGTAACGCCTGACCAGAAAGGGGAAAAGGCTGCCGCGAGTTTGCTCGAAAACAGGAGAGAAGATTTTTGGAGATGACGCAGAGGACAAAGAAAACCTCTTCCCCTCTCGCCGGAGCGTTGGGCCGGCTTCCTCCGAAGGAAAAAATAATCAGGCATGTTTGGAGACGCCGCAGCGAGGAGGCGGCCTGGCGGGCGGCGCCCCGTGACGTCACGGCCGCGGGTCGGCACGTGCGTCCCGGTTCTTGAGCTCGTCGCGGAGCGCTCGTGCTCGCCCGTGTCGGAGGCGCGCGTGGCTGAGCTGAGCGCATCGGCGTGGCCTGCAGTCGGAAGCACTGAACCGTGTTTTCTCCAAAGTTTCCCCGCGAACTCTCGCTTCCCCATAGAGGACCTATTAGATCACATACTTGGATCTGTCTTTCGAGCTTCAAAGCAAATGTGCTTGCCTGAGATCCAGGAAGATGGGTCAGTGGGGAGCACAGTGGAGGCGCATATCCTGAACTGAGCCCGGCGAAAGAGGCCTAGAGGTTCCAAGAGGAGGGGAGGGGGTCCAAAGGACGAGAGCGACCGGTTCAGGGAGTTCAGACCCATGCGTTCGAATCTCTGCTGCCCTCGTGCACTGGCCCTGGTCCCTGTGGCTGTGCCGCCTGGGACCCGCGGTGCTGCGATCCCCAGCTGGCTGAGATCGGCTAAAGTGCGTGGCCTCCAGCGAGCTCTGAAACGAAAGAGCAAGTGCTGCAGCCCCGAGATTCCCAGCAAACGTGGGCACCACAGTAGACCCTGTTGAGTGCTGCAGCCAGGGTGTGCCATCCCCAGGTGTGGTCAGGACAGGTGGACCCATGAGCACCCCAACCCCTCGTCAAGGAGACAACAGCAACCAAGGGAAGGGAGGACAGGGAGAAGAGGTGACTCGAGGAAGACCAGAGGCTCTGCTGCCAAGCGTTGACTTTCTACAGAAAGGTTATTTCTGGTAATAACCCAGATTCTGGGTTAAACCCCCCACCCCCACCCCCACTTTCATTTCTTTAGGAAGTTAAGGGGGTGGTAGAAGTATCGTGGAAGCTTGCAGGGCCTCAGTTGGCCCCAGACTGAAAAAACACATTTTGACCAAGACAAGGTCCCAACCCTCGGCAGCCTCCATTCTTACTTTGTGGTGTCTTTGGAAAAACACAAATCTGATTAAGTTCCTAATGCTTCAAATCCTTTACTGAACTCTCAATGTTTAAATAAAGCGTAGGCTACCTTTTTGTGTATGGCATCCAAGCCCCTGGCAGGCTACCGAATGTCACCTGCCCACATGGCTGAGTCTGGCAAACTCCCCGTGATGTACCTCATATGCCAAATGCCAGTAACAATGATGGGTCTCATTCTCTTAACCCTGAAAGAGCTTTGAATATGGCACTTTTTAAAATCTCAGGGCTAGGGCAAAAGAGACGTGACTGGTGCCTGCTCCAGGCAATCGACGAACAACAGGATGATGGTGATCGTGATGATCCAAGCCCCAATCTGATTGGCACTTTAACTTAAAATGCATTGAAGGAATATTGATCCATTAATGTCTATATAAGGTATACAACATTATAATCCAACATCTGTGACATTTTTAAATAACTGGCCGACTTTTTACTCGATTCACCAAATCCTTAATTCAAATGCTTATTTTTCACATCGGTTAAGCAGGGGCCAGAGAGATCATACAACAGGCAGGGCACATGCCTTGCAGGTGGATAACCTGGGCCCAATCTCCAGCACCCTGTTTGGTCCCCTAGCACCCCCAGGAGTGATCCCTGAGTGCAGAGACAGGAGTAAACCCAAGTGTGGCTCAGAAAAGAAAAAAAAATCTGATGAGTGAACACTGAGAGGCCAAAAGGCTGTTCCTTCATCTCAGTGCGTTGTCCTTTTCCCACGAGCAGCAATTAAAATTGTTCCTTTAAATTTTGAATGGGCTAACACATACTGGAAAGATGAGGTAATTAGGAGACCTTGGTGCAGTTGGCAAAACACTTTAACTTAAGGTAGAATTTCTAGGGGTGCTGAGTGACCTTTTTCTAAAAAGGAAGTAAGCAGGCCAACTTTGGAACACTGACCTAGAGAAACGTAAATCACCTATGTGTATCTAATAATGAATGTCTTATTTATCTGAGAAACTCATCTCTTTAGTCAAGAGTAATCTCATTATGTACAGTGTCCCCCTCTACTTCATGTCCCTACTGTCTTAGGATAGCACAGGTCTGTTCTATTTGGTTTTCCTTTTTTTTTTTTTTTTGGTTTTTGGTTTTTGGGTCCCACCTGGCGTTGCACAGGGGTTTCTCCTGGCTCATGCACTCAGGAATTACTCCTGGCGGTGCTCGGGGGACCATATAGGATGCTGGGAATCAAACCGGGTCGGTCGCGTGCAAGGCAAACGCCCCTACCCTCTGTGCTGTTCTCCAGCCCCTGGTTTTCCTTTTTAAGCAAGATTGTTTTATTTAGAAAAATGTAAGGAGAAAGAGAATGTACATTGGAGATTGTGATGCAGGCAAAGAATGCACACTACTCGCCCTATTTTTCTGTAGATTTATAACCATGTAAATTTTCCATGTATGTATGTTGTTGAGTTTTCCTTTGCTAACTTACATAACACTTTGATCCAGCCTCAGAGGAACCCAGAGGGTGGGCAATTCTGCCCTGTGCCCCAGTGTTGGGTATCAACCCTTAGTGTTTTAGGCTTCACCAGTGAATTGCCCCTTTCCCCCTCCCAGAGCTTACCATGCCCTTGCTAACATTCCTAATTTAGCTAAAGTTTATCTTTAACCTTTCCTTTGTATTTTACCTCTCATGGTCAGTTTCCCAAGTCAGTCTTGATTACTTATAAGCCAAAACTTTCTGGTAATTCTGAACTTTGTGTTTGTACTGCTTTATATTTGAAGTGCTGTATATTTGTATCTGCTTTTCTATTTCCTGGATAGCCTTTTTATATATTACTACAGAGCAATGTTCTTTGGTTAAACACAGAAAGACCATTAATGCTATGCTCTTAATATTTGGGAGTTGATTGACTCTGAAACGTATCTGCTCCTGGGCGTAATTACTGGATATCACAATTACTTGACTCAGGCTTCAGTTGCCATAGTTCCTAATACCCCAAAAAGGGAGGTCCTCCCACGGGACTGGGATGGATTGGGGCGAGTGGCAAAGCTACCCGGCATCGAAATGGGACATTCTGGAAGCACAAATGCATGGTCTTGATGCAAGCTCTTACAACTTAAGAGACAGGACCAGCTGAACTGGCCTGACGACTTAAGTCTGGGATTTACAGTAAAAGCCTTGCTTGCTCTCACCCCAGAGAACTAAGTGTTGGGATCTTTGTCTCTTGCTGTATTTATCCAAACAACTCCAAGTATTGATAACTTATACAACTAGAGGGAAGGATAAAAGCAATGTAGATGTCCTTGGGAGAGAGAGTGTCTTCTTGAGTTGATCTCCCCAAAAGAATTTCCTCTGCCAAATGTTTAGCTATGTAAATTACCAATCTCACCCATGTCCTTACCTCAACCCGGCTTCAGATGTTCTATGTTTGCTAGCAGCTCTGCATTCAACAGGCCATTTTCACCATCAGGCTGTGGTCCCCACCTCCCCATCTCTCTGTTGGAGAGGCCTGGGGAGGTGGGGAGGCAGGGAGGTGGCTCTAGGCCACATAACCCACATGCCCGTCACAGCAGCAGACCCCGCGGTTTACTTTGTGAACTCACACCCCAACATGTCCTATTTATGACTATTTTAACTCAACCCGTTAAAAGTTTTGTACTGACTGTTTAAAACAGAAACTGACAATAGTTGTAGTTTGTCATAATTGTAGCTTTGGCTTCCTAAACTAGTGTGTAATATTGTGCTCAGTAAACCTGCGCACAACAAACAGATTTGAGAGTAACATTATTTCGGTCATTCAAACAGCAAGCCAATCGGATTCAAATTGTTTATTATACATTATGGTTGCACAATTGGAGGCTGGTTAAATACAACTGGTTTTCAAAATTTCTTAGTCTCTTCTAGATTATTACATGCAAGTGATCATGAAAATATTTGGCATTTTTAAATTTTGAAACTCTGAACAGGCACTTACATGAAGAAAAAAATTATCATTCAGATATCCACATTTAAAGTAGATGCTCCAGCACATAATATATGGAACCTTTTGCCAGAAAAGATGTTGGTACTGACCATTTTATCAAAGTGCCAAAGTAGTAAAACAGATTTAAAGAAATGTAATATTGAGTTACTCAGCTAACTCAGAAAGTAAGGTTAACTGACAAGACTTGCACTGAAGTGTATAAAAAAACATTGGTACAAAAACCAGTGAACCATAAGTAGCTTCACACAGCAGGCTTTTAGTTCCTACACCCCACGGTTAGTGTATTTGATATCAGATCCCATGCATATGAACAGACTGAGCGCAGCCTTTTTAGAGACTCTGAAGAAATGACTTGAATTCAGTGTTTTTAAAAAAAATAGCAAAACAGAGTAGGCTGGGTTTAAATTAGTTTAAACTGGGCAAAGTTCCAGGTTAACAAATGTGAAATTGTTCAGATCTGGATAACAACATGGGGTCCTCCTGAGTCTTTCATCTCCAAACTTTCCCTTGAAGGGAGGAGAATATTTGTAAAGAAAATCATATGTGTATACATGTAGCTAAAAAGATTCCTTAGAATAAAAAAAATTATATATAGAAAAATTGTATTTTTAAACAAATTCTAAAATGCTAATAGACAGCTCCACATAAATGGATAATATACTGAATAGTAGTAGCAAAATGATCACTTAAAATGGGAGGGGGAACGACATGTCACATAACCCCTTGGGGAACTTATGTAATACACCACAGAGAACTTCAAAAAAGGGGAAATTCAGGAAATCAGGGAATGGCAGAAGCACCTACAGTAAAACACTCCATATGCATTTCTCAAACACATTTGTAAAAACAGTTCTCAAAAATATTGAGGTGTCATGTTTTAAAATCTTTGCAAGACATTTAGCGTTACTCTGGTCTTCTCATTTTATTTGAACGAAATATTTTATTTTTTTGCATGAAGAATAAGAGATAATTATTAGCATGAAGGGGAAAAGAATTTACAATCAATATTATGCAGAAAGAAAGCAAAATTACAAATAGCCTACTCACTTGAAAATCTTTCTTATGCTGATGTGTAACAGAGTGCTTATCATCAATCGAAGTGTGTAGTAAAAAAACAACAACCAGAAAAAAAAAAACCCAAAAAACCCCTGGAGCCTAAGAGGTCCAATGTTTCAAAGAAAGCACTTTTTTTTTTAAATATATACATGAGGAACATTTAGTTATATCATAAATGCAGCACTGTAAGATAAAGGAAGACTTAAATTGGTTTTGGCCTTTCCCCGCTCCACATGCTGCAACCACCTTTTAGCCTGCCAAATTTAATGAATATAGGAGTTTTTGTCTTTATTTCTTCTATTCAGTTCACATTTCAGGCTGTTCTGCAGATGCCTGTGATTCTGGTGATTCAAATCGCTGGTGAAAGTTTGTTCTCTGTTTCCTCAGTTTTTCAGGAGCTTTTCTCCATAAAATGATCTCCTAATAGAAAAATTCAAGTTATCAAAAAATTTAATATTCTCATCACATGCCTTAAATTTTCCACATAGGAATATGACTTCAGTTTTAACTAAAATAAAATTAAAGTCGTCCTGCAACTTGGCGGTCCTCTTTCCTGACCCACTTTCTAACAATTCTTATCCTGGATCGTCTTTTCAGCTTCACCATGGTACACGAACACCATGTACACCACCAGCAGTGGTCCAATTTTGCACAACATTTCCGCAATTACTACTGGGTGAAATTCCTAAAACCTACCCTTTGATTTGCTATTCCACTGCCCTTATCCAAGTTCAAGTCCTTGTAACTTCTACCTTAAGCACCAAAATAGCATCTTGAGAGACAGCTGTCTCTTTTTCCTCTTCGTCACTACAATTAATCTGAGACACTGCTTGGATAAGCTCTTTAATAGTCCTCAGTGTTTCCAGATTAAATTTCAAACCAAGCACTCACGCCCAAACATCGAATTTACCAACATGACTTGTTTCTCTCCCTGGGTCCCCATCCCACATCAACCAAAAGAAGTTTCTCTATTCTTCCAACACACAGCCTGGCCCAAACTGCCCTATATTCCCAAATCTCCACTCCTGTCTCTAAATCTTATCCTAGCCAATCTATTCTAAAGTCTCTTCTAAATTCCAAAAATTATTTTCTACATAAAGTCATGACAGGCTGCTTAGTTTGGGGCTTAAAAAAAAATTTTTTTCACCAGCACATCAGAATTTAAATGGGAAGCAACCAATTTAATCAGGCCATGATAGATATTTAGAAATTGTGACTTTCATGCAATCTATCTGAATTTATAAATTATCTATGTTTATTATTAGCATTCTAACACTAGTGGAATAGTCATTCTTTACAAATTACTGTCAAGCTATTAAGTTTTGCTGACTTCTGTAATTTTCCTTTGGATATCTGCAACGTGAGGGCCATGAGAATAAATCACGTTTACAAAAGACAAAAGAGAGGGTCTGGAAAGATAGTACAGCAGGTAGGGTGCTGCTTTGCAGGCAGCTGATCCAGGTTCTAGCCCCAGCATCCCATATGGTTTCCCCGGTCCGCCAAGAGTGATACCTGAGCACAGAGTTAGGAGTAAGCCCTGAACACCTCCAGATGTGCCCCCACCCCCCGGAAAGAAAGAACCCAGAAAGATAATTTTTGTGTTCTTCACAGTACTCAGCTCAGAGTAATGTCTAATTTCATTTTCGTTATGTTGTGATACCAGAAATTTGACCCACGGTTCCAAACACACAAGGCTTTTAGTTTTGAATATGTCACTGGCATGCAAATAATCTGATTCAGAACACAAAAAGAGCTCTCTAACCACAATCGTCATTCAAAATTCACCAGAGGGACTGAACAGGTATTACAGGGGTTAATAGGGATTAAGACTCTTGCCCTGCATGCAGCCAGCTCTGCCCAGCTGGATCCCAGCACTGCATATGGACTCCTGGGCAAAGAAGAATAGTCTCTGGGCAATCTTTAGGTTGTGGCCCCAAAATGAAATTTGTCAAAGGCTTTTAATTTCAAATGAGAACAAGTTTTATGATCAACAGTTTGCATTTAAAAAAAAATAGTAGATTTGGGTGAGCTTAAGATAAAAATTCCTAGGTCTGAGAAGTTAACAAAGTCTTTGAAAGTGAAAATGGGGGGCAGAGAGACAGTTAAGTGGGTAGGCCTCTTGCCTTACATGTGACCCACCTAGGTTCAATTCCCTGTACCCCCTGTGGTACCAGGAGCCCCACCAGGCATGACGCCTGAGTTCTGCAGAGCCAAGAGTGAGTCTTGAACATCACCAGGTGCAGCCCAAGAGCCCAAAGAAAAAGTGGCAACAGGAGATCCTTATTTTTATTTATTTTTGTGCTTTGGGTGACACCCAGCGGTTCTCAGGGGTCGCTCCTACTCTGCACTCAGTAATGACTCCCAGCAGTGCTTGGGGAACATAGGGGATGCCGGGAATCGAACCCAGGTTGGACACACGCAAGGCAAATGCCCTTGCTGTTGTACTATTGCTCCAACCCTCAGATACATATTTATTTACAAGGTAGGATATTCAAGATACCACAGATAAAGCAAATTAAAGAACATGCACGATCTGGTATAAACAAAGTTTGGAAAATTAATACAACAGTGGTAGAATTTTTATTGGCCTTAATTTTACTCCGTTCTTTATTGTCGGATTTTGGTTTTAAATAATCAGTGGGTGTTTACAAATAAACTTTAGGCTGGTCTGGCCTAGAGATGACACGACAGTGTTGTTCTAGAATCCAGGGCACTTTGGTGCTGGTGATGTGCAATGACTTTGTACACTGATACTATAAACTTAAACACTATTACAACCGTACTGCCTAAACTATAGTTAATTCTTTTTTAATCAAAACACTTTAGGCTGGAGAGACTGGAAAGAGAGCACAGGAGTAAAGGTGCTTGCATGCGTGAGGCCAACCCCAGTTCAATTCAGCACTGTACAAAGACTTTAGACTGGAAATGCAGCTTAGCAGGAAAGTGCCTGCTTTGCAGTATGAGGTTCTCGGTTTGATCCTTAGCACACACACGAAAAAAGTTTTAAAGAAAACAAGATTAAAACCTTTAAAGAAAATAAAATTCTGCCAAATTATAGCCCATTCTGAAGTTCTACGGAGTAACAGAAAATATCTATCAATTCCATTTACACCTACATCCTTATTGTACTCCCAGGGTTTCCACTAAGAAACACCCACTAACTCACTACAATAAAGCTTAGAAAACTCAACACTTTCCTGCTGGTTTTAGAATTGTATGGAACAAAACAAGAGCCTGAGTGGTACCGTACCTGCTGTTTGAAGTACCTTCTGTCTTCCTCATCAACAAGGACTAGATTCAAAAAGTACCTTACTGAAAATTTTTTGTTCACATCTCTCATTGTTGGAGTTGGGTCATATCCTGCTAAAAATAGTCTTATTGGAATTGATTCACCTGAAAGAAAAGCAATTTGATGTCACATACGTAATATTTTAGTTTAGAGCATAAACTATTAAGATGCTAATATAGATATGACGTTAACAGGAAGTAATAGTATAGAGAAGTTAATGGGACTTAGTATAAAGATCTCAGCATGGTGGTGGCTGGTTCTGGGGGTCTTCGGCTGCCGGAGCCCTGGTCGGGGCGGAGAGGGAAACTCAACCCGTTCCCCTCCAAGGGGCCCCAGCGAGGACAGCCAGGCATGGGAGCAGGAGACTCTGCGCTGTTCTCTTCTGGGAGCTGGGTTTTATAGTCTCTGGGTCTTGGCCGTTGATGGGATTACACGGCGCCAGGGGGCCAGTTGGTGGGTGTGACCCCTGCCTACTGGAATTTGGAGGATCTGCTCCGGCAGCCGAAGACCTCCAGAACCAGCCACCACCATGCTGAGACCACTCCCCACACGCATGAAGGTACCGGCAGAGGAACAAAGGCATGAGGGTCCCGGGGCTGAGATCTCCAAGCCTGCTCGGATCGGGGCTAAGCATCCTCCACCCAGATCCTCCATCTTCCAGTAGGCAGGGGTCACATCCACCAACTGGCCCTCTGGAGCCGTGTAATCCCATCAACGGCCAAGACTCAGAGACTACAAAATCCAGCTCCCGGAAGCTCCCAAATCATATTTTCTCATTCTTACTTTGGACAAACTGGCGGGCTACCGAATGTAACCTGCCCACACGGCAGAGTCTGGCAAACTCCCCGTGGCGTACCCAATATGCCAAATACCAGTAACAATGATGGGTCTCATTCTCCTAACCCTGAAAGGGCCTTGAATATGGCACAGTTTTAAAAATTTCAGGGCCAGGACGAAGGAGATGTTACTGGGGCCTGCTCGAGGCAATCGACGAACAAAAGGACGGTCGTGCTCGTGAGTATAAAGACCTACGTTTATCTATTAGTATATATGAGATATACAGATAGATATATGCAGAGTATAGAGAAGATAATGCTTCCTTCCTCATGAAAAGAGCATCACAAAAACTTTAGGGTTTCTCACCTTGGGCATTACAAACATTTTAGACCAGATAAATCTTGGTTGTGAAAAAGATTCTATGGACTGTAAAAGATTTAGCAATATTCCTGGACTCGACCCACTAAATCGTGTCTTAAAATTTTTCCACTTGCGATCCTTTTCTGCCAAGAAAACTTTTATTGTTGCTGTTTCTGAGCCACACTTGGCAGTGTTCAGCGATTGCTTCCAGCTCCTGTTCCAAAACAAAATTTCCACGGCCCCCTCACACCGTTTGTTATACAACCCCATAGAGGGTTATGACCCACAATTTAAGAAGCCAGGCACTCAATGACAATTGACAACTCAGTGCCTGGCTCCCCAAATGTGACAATCAAAAACATCTCCAGGTGTTGCCAAATATTCTCTGAGAGTATATTAGGGGAACAAAATTATCCTAGAGGAAAACCCTGCTCTTGAATCATAGTGCTCAATTCAAATCCCAACTCTACAAATTACTATGTCTTCTTGGTCAAGTCACTTAAGCACCGTTTCAAACTCCTCACTGTAACACATATTTTGGACAGTATATGTAAGGACTCTGTGGGTTAGTATGTTAATAACTTAGAACAGTCAACAGATAACTTGTTTTATAAGTATTTTGTTATTATCTGCTTTCATAAAGTCATCAAACTTCTTAGTCCTGTGTACAAATGATTACTTGTAATTAATTCACCCAAAGTAAACATGTTCAGAATGATGATATTCCTTCAATACCAAGCCTGATGACTATATCCAGATATTCCTGACGTCCCCTTTCCTATGGGCAATTATTTGCAAGGAGTTTTGCTAATTTCTGTTTTGGCATATAATAGAAACAAATTACTATCTTTCTTACATAGTAATTTTGTGCTTAGCAATTCCCTAAAATAGTATGACCCACGAGTTAATTTCAATTTTTAATGGAGGATGGAGGCTGGGGCCACATCTGGCAGTGCTCCTGGTTTACTTCTGGTGCTCTGCTCAGAGATCACACCTGGTGGTGCTCAGAGAAACCATATGCAGTGCTGAGGAATGAGTGAGGGTCAACTGCATGCAAAGCCTTAACCTCTTTACCAAGTCCTGGGGCCCCATTAGAAGATTTTTTTTTTAAGCTCTCTGCTCCTCGGTTCCATCTAGAGAAGGAAAACTATCATCTAATTATCTAACTGACAAGGGTCCAAGGGAAATTCAGAACGTATAGGGATATTATCTCCTCGTCTACAGTTGCCACTTAGTAAGTGGTACCTATTTATAAAGGTAATTATTAACAAAGTCAAAGACAAACCTAAAATCACAAATACAGGTTTCATTTAGCCAGGAGAGAGTATCAAGTAATGATTATTATTTTCCCACAGGCTATCAGGACTCTTAAAATCCCACGGGAACTGATGATCAGCTATACTGCACAAAGTTCAGCATAAATAAAAAATATTTACAGGCGCATATGCTGCCGGAGCCCATGTGCTGCTTACACCCACGTGGCAGAGCACGTGTGGTGCCCGAGCACATGTGTCACCCGCATCTCCCCTCTTGAGATGTGTACTTTCATGCTTTCGTGTCTAATGTTAGGGTGTGTGTAGGGGCCCTCTCTGCACAGAAGCCTGTGTTCTCCCTTGAGTACATTACTCTCTCACTCTCTCCCCCTCCACACCTTAAAAATCCTCCAAATGAAATCTATTTAATTTCACCCCCCAAAAAAATATTTACAGAGATGAGCTATAATAACAAAATACCATTAAATACTTCAAATTCAGGCTAGAGGAGAGATGAGCAAAAAACATCTTTTCCAGATTCTAAATTTTCTAAATTTAAACTGAGTTAAACAATCTCACTTTAGGACTGACGAAATACCACAGAGATTGAGGTGTTTGCTTTGCATGAAGCTAATCCTTGTTCAAATGCCAACATCACACATGGTCAATGCCTGAGCACGGCCAGAGTGACCCAAACCCCCATCCACCCGCCCCCTGTAGACACATACACATCTACAAAAAAACCCACCCATTTTAGGCTAGGAAATACTACTATGGTACTCTGAAGGATATGTGTAAAGATGATTTGAAAACTATTGTAGTTATTAAAAAAGTTAAACATAGGGCCAAGAGAGAGCTCCAAGACTGGTTTGGAATGCACATGTCCTGGTTCCATCCAGGCCAGGTGCACCCTAGGAGCACCAATTAGGCCCTTAGAGGCAAGGAGTGACCTCGGGGCCCCCGAAGAACTGCCTGGGAGGCTCCTCCAAAATAATATTAATATTTTTACACTGAATAAATACTTCCAAATGAACCCTGCTGTGAACACTGTTGCCTGTACTACTTATAAAAAGAAAGAAAAGAAGCAGAAAAAAACTTGTTACCTTTTACTGGTGCACCATCCATTATTTCATATTTAGCAATTGTTTCTGTTTCTGTTGTAGTACTGGGTCCTAAAGCAATAATGTAAAATATATTGAATTAAATACACTTAGAATGTATGTTCAGCCTTATAACTAATTCCAATTATCCGAATGCAAAATTTAAGTACTGACTTATCTTTCCATTTTGTGGAAATATTGTTATTTTCTATTTATTGCTCTATGATTACCATAAACTAAATGTTGAACTCCTTTCTTCCCAAGGGAAATAAATAGATCAGAAAGACTCTTCTTCACAAAGTTTCTTTTGTTTCTATTATATGCCAAAACAGAAATTAGCAAAATCCCTCAAAACTGATCACTGATATGAAGTTTTCTCTGCAAAATCCTCTCCTAGGGGAAGGGGGGTATACTGGGAAGATTCGTGGTGGGGAATGTGCACTGGTGGAGGGATGGGTGTTTGATCATTGTGTGATTGTAACCCAAACATGAAAGCTCATAACTTTCTCACGGTGATTCAATCAAATTTTAAAAAATCCTCTCCTAAACTTAGTTAACTCTAACACAGACAAAATATCCATGGAATACTTGATTGACATGCAGTCCTTTAAAACTGGGGGATTCGCCCGCTAAATAAGTTTAAATACAGGGGCTGGAGCAATAGCACAGCGGGTAGGGCGTTTGCCTTGCACGCTGCCAACGCGGGTTTGATTCCCAGCATCCCATATGGTTTCCTGAGCACCGCCAGGGGTAATTCCTGAGTGCAGAGCCAGGAGTAACCTCTGTGCATCGCCAGGTGTGACCCAAAAAGCCAAAAAAAAAAAAATTTTTAATATAATCAATCTTGAAAAAAGTCAATGACAGGACTGGATAGATAGTACAGAGGGTAGGGTACTTGTCTTGCACAAGGCCAATAGAAGTGGGAAGGGGGAGAGGGGTTTCAACCCCTGGTACATCACATGGCCACCAAAGTACTGCAAGGATTGATCCCCGAATGCAGAGTCAGGAAACTTAAGCACCCAAAAACAAAAGAATCAACAACAAAAAAGGGCAGGGATGATGCTAAGTTAGCAGAAAAAAAAAGTACACCAAAACATACATTAATGACCTCAACACAAATATATATAAAATGCCAAGGGTAAAGCCCATTACAACTAATAAGTATGAATTGAATTTTGTAATTAAATATAATTTTGGAGGGTGGGGTTACCCAGTGATGCCTGGGAGACCATGTAGTGCCAGTGATAGAATCTGATGTTCCCATGTGCAAAGCTTGTACTCCAGCCCTTTGAATCATCTTTTCAGCCAAAATATAATTTTTATATATGTGTACATGTATACATGCATTGTAATGAAGTATTAGTCATCAAGAAGAATAAAAGTGGCTGGAGCAATAGTACAGTGGATAGAGCGCTGGCCTTACACACTGTCCTGGGTTCAATCCCCAGCACCACATACACTCTCCAGAGTCCTGCCAGGAGTGATCTGAGGATAGAACTAGGAGTAAATACAGTTGGAGATGGGCCAAAAATGAAAAAATAAAATCTCACTGTTTATAATAATATAAATGAGCAAAGTGTCATGTTAAATCAAAAGACATGTATAAATGTATATGTATTTATGATCTCATTATATATAAATTACTACCAGCAACATCAAGTATCAAAGCCAGTACCGAACCTGAATATTTATTCTGTTTAAATGGTCACGGTCACGGTCCTCCCGTTGTTCATCGATTTTCTCGATGCGGGCCCAGTAACATCCCCATCATGAGACTTTGTTGTTACTGTGTTTGGCATCTCGAATACGTCACGGGTAGCTTGCCAGGCTCTGCCGTGCGGGCGAGATACTCTCGGTAGCTTGCCGGGCTCTCCGAGAGGGGTGGAGGAATCGAACTCGGGTCGGCCATGTTGGCCGCTTGTAAGGCAAACGCCCTACCAAATACGGTTTTAAAATTTCAACTAAAATAGGAACTTTTGAACATTCTTTAACTTACCAATTCCTGTGATCTCTTTTTTGATCAGTTGTAGTTCCATATGTTGAATCTTTATTCTTACTAATAAGAAGTAAATTTTTCCAACAATCACATCCTTTAAATGATACCTTGGGAAGAAACATATGCTTCATTTATAAAGTTTAAACAAACAAAAATGTGGAATATGTCCTGAAGGCTTTAGCATAACAAGGAATCTGTTTTGGGCCAAAGAGATTTTGGTTGAATAAGGACGATAAAGAACTCATCCAACAAATAAACTTTAAAGAAATATGGAGCTGCAACAATAGCACAGCCGGTAAGGCGTTTGCTTTGCACATGGCCGACCCAGGTTCAATCCCTGGCATCCCATACGGTCCGCAGAGCACTACAAGGGTGTAGAGCCAGGAATAATTCCAGAGCAATGCCCAGATGTGACCCAAAAAGCCAAAAAAATTAAAAAATAGTGGAGGGTTGCGGCGATGGTTTAAAGGGCTAAAGCATGTGCTAGGAGACCAGGGTTGATGGTCTCTACTGCAGGATACCCTGAGCACCACTGCAGCGGCCCCAAAAGACCTTGCCAGGAGCATCCTGGGCACCACCACCCCCACCACAATAAATAAAAAATTCTTCTCCCAAAGCATAAAGCCCTATTAAGAGCCAAAGAGTCTAAGAGCAGTGGGGTTAAAGACAGCTGCCTTGAAGACAGCCAACCCCAATTCAAATTCTGGCACTACATATGGTCCCCTTGAGCACTATCAGGAGTAAACCCTGAGCACAGCTGGGTGTGGCCCAATACCCACAACCCCAAGCCCAAAGTGAAGAATCAAGCCACCAATGTACTGTGGTTTGTTTTTTTGTTTTTGCTTTTTTGGGGCACACCCAGCGATGCACAGGGGTTACTCCTGGCTCTGCACTCAGGAGTTACTCCTGGCGGTGCTCAGGGGACCAAATGGGATGCTGGGAATCGAACCCGGGTCGGCCGCGTGCAAGGCAAACGCCCTACCCGCTGTGCTATCTCTCCAGCCCCTGTACTGTGTTTTGATGCCCCAAATTTGAACAAATCTTGTTTGGATACTAATTTGAAAAAAAATCATGTGAGGAAACCAAGATATGTATCAATTTGGGAAATAAAATACCACAAGTTACGTGAAAACTTTTTATTAAAGAATTACGACTTTTCTGCTTGTTTTTGGGTCACCCCTGGGTTTGAACCCTGGTATCCCATATGGTCCCCTGAGCACTGCTGGGTGTGGCACCAAAGCAAACTACACACCCACTTCTCCTCTCCCTCTTGGGAAGAAACACAAGAGGATATTAACTGGTTACTTTTACTTTCTGTGACTTTTCTACATCATGGTAAACTTATGTCATCAGCAAAATGTATTTTCTTTTCATTTAAGGGCTAAATAAGCAAAAGTAACGGCAGGCAAGGAAGAAAAATTGCTATATACTAAGGGCTAATCTGCCTCCTGAAATGATGAGAACCTCTACGAAAGTCAGAGACATAACAGAAAATGAGTATTAAAGATGTCTGGCACTGAAAGTGGGACCATCTCTTAGTTTCTTCAGCTCAGACATTCTGTTGTTCTGTTGACATTCATGTCAATTATCCTTACTTGGACTTATGAAGTACTCTGAAAGGCACTTACTTTGATTTATTATATTCAAATTCTATGTGTAGACAGTCTTCAATGCCCACTTCCATCTTAATAGAGTTGTTAACATCAGGATAGGTGGCAAGCTGGTGAACAATAAGATCATATTCTTTTACCAAGTCTGTCAGTCTTCTTACTATTGTCACTTTAAGAAAATACCTACAACGTCAATGGAGAAGACAAATTAAATCTTGTATAATTAATTGCAGAATTTGAAAAAAAGCAAACACTTGGGGCAGAAATACTGAACAAGGGTTAAGGCACCACATCGTCCTCAGAACAGTAAATAAACAAAGGAACATTAACTGCAGCTCAGTTCAGTTCTTCGTGGGTACTTCATAAAGGAATTCTTATCTACTTATCTGGGGTACCATTGGCTGGAGAAGGGAGGAGAAAGGAGTTTGTGTATTTTGTTATTGTTGTTCCTTTAGTTTTGTTTTGTGGTGCCAGGGATCAAAGCCAGGGCATCGCCGATCTAAGGCACACACTCTACCACTGAGTTAAAGCTCCATCTCTGGTCCCAAAGGGGGGTGGTGGTGGTGGTGGTTGTTTTTTGAATTGAATCACAGTGACATACACAAGGTCCCAAAGTTCTTGTCGGTTTGGTTAAGTCTAGGGGTCGTACCCAGCTATGCGCAGGGCTTACTCCTCACTTCATTCTGCTCAGGGACCCTACCTAACAATGCTCTGTATGTGGGGATGGTGAGGGATCAAACTGAAGTCAGCAGCATGCAAGCCGTACCTTCTGTCCTAATATCTCCAGCCCCCCCGGAGTTGTGACTTGTTTGTTCTGGGGTCACACCTAGCAGTGCTCTGATCTACTCCTCAGCTCGTTGCACTACTTCTCTGACCCTGGAGTTCGAAATTTTAAATAAACATCCTAACCAGAAAAAAAAGTTAAAGTCTAGTATTTAAGATTTATGTCTGGAGGCTGGAGTGAAAGTACTGAGGGTAGGGCACTTGCCTTGCGTGCGGCCAACCCAAGTTCAATTCCTGATACCCCAGATTGTCCATAAGCCTCACCAGGAGTGATCCCGAGCAGAGTCAGGAGTAAGACCTGAGCCCAGCCAGGTGTGGCTCAGAGAACAAAGATATACCTAGACTTTAGATGAGTTTGGAGTGGACTCCCAAGCTTATGTGAGGAAATTGCTCTAATCTAAATCACTTAACCAGATACTTAACCAGATCACTTCACCAGATCTAAGCCTCTGATAAAAATCTCTTACTATCCCAGATCAGCATTTAGCCTGACAAAATATTTGACAATTTTGAAAAACCTTAAGTCTTCCAGGTTAGAATTAGAAATAGATAGTTTATAGGAGATTCCACAGTAGTCAATGCTTTCTGGTTTTGACACTCTTTAGGTTTCTAAGAATCACATACCTCAAACGGACATTAGCGCCGATGTAGGATTCATATGGCTTTTCAACTTGCATAAATTCAAAATCATAACTTCTGCTCTGAGTCAGCTCTCCTGGTAAGGCTAGCTCTTTTACTAAGTTTACAAATTCATGAGTATTACTCTTGTCATTGAAAAGCTCTAGAAAAAAAAATTTAAAGCAAAATTTATATTTAATACCCATTTCACTAAAACCCAAAACATTTATCTCCAAAGTTAACTTTACCAAAATAATTAGTTGTTTCTTTTTTAATATATTAGAGCTATGATCTGAATGGCATTTTTCTTCTCTTATTAAGATTCATACGTATACATAAAAAATTTCAATGACCCAAGTACAATGAAACCTGCTCTACTGTAAAAAATTTAATTCATTCCTTTAATTATGTAGTCTGCCCAATATGACACTAACTCAACAAATATAATTCCAGCAATTCTTTGAAATCCCTTCCCTTAAAACAGAAAACATTGTGTTGGCTTGTTTAGTTTGATTAGACAAGTATATCACCTTAATAAAGCATTTTGCTGGGTGAGAGATGCAGCTCAGTGCAAAGCACTGTGTCTCAAATGTGTAAGGCACACATTATACACACATACACCAAACCCACACGTACACACAGCACATCTCCAGACACACACACACACACAGACACACACACAGACATACACACACACACACAAAGGCATCATGTTATATACTGTAGTTAGGCAATAACCCTCATAAAGATATAATACATGAGGTTAAAATCAAACATCAGTTAATTACTATAAATTGCCCAAGTATAATCTCATCTACAATATGTGAATATTCAATAGTTTTCATTTTGATACTTTAAAAATGTAGTGTAAAATTGAGAAAGCCAGAATTAAAGCTTAGCTACACAAACAATATGATAAACACCTATTCTCTTTTCTGAATCTGCAGTACCAAAAGAATTATACAGAAACTCTTGCTAAATCAAGAGCATGTCTAAAATAAATAAACAGAAAAGACACAGCTGATCTAAGTCAAGAAGAAATTACCTTTCCTTTTCACATGGGATTTTCTGTTGATTAGCAAATCTGGTTATAGACACCCAATAGATCAGGAAGACGAATGGTACAGGTAATTAGAAAGCAAAGGATGAAGGTGATACTGGTCATTGTGAGAAAGTAAAGAACGATGAAAATGGAGGCAGGTGAAAACTTAAATTCAAACTTCACTTGAATTATTTTCCAAGGCTGGTAGCTTATACAAACACCTCTCATTTTTAGTCATTAAGTTTAGTAACAAAGGCAGGTTAATAAAATATAACTAAAAGAAACAGGATTTATTGTTTGTAAAATCTTTTTATACAGATCTTTTCTTGCCACAAAGCTAAGTTCTAATTCAATTATTTGTCAAATCCAAAGTTCTTCAAATTCAGTTATGAAGGAAGAAAAGTAATACTATTTTGCAACTCACCAATTTGACCTACAAATTCAATTCTAATTCCTTGGTGCTCTAGCCTCTTTCCAGGTTGCTTAAAGGCTAGGTTTACCTGCCAAAACATGAAATTGTAAGAGATGTTAACAATTCTTTGAGTGGGTCTACTAGATTCCTTCCAAACGAATGTAGTATATTCATTTTTAAGACACAAAAGTTTGAGACGCAACCACATACCTAGATGATAATTTTATAGTACCACAGAGGGTATAACTTATTCAAAGAAAATCATTTAATGACCCTGTGACTCAAATATATACTTAAAACACTGACTTTTAGGAAGGAATCCTTTTAGAACTGGAGAAATGTAAAGACTGAATCAAAAAAGTGTGTGTGTGGAGGGGAACCTTTCAACTAGTTGAGTGTGTTTTCTGGTCAAATATTTAAACAATTTTACTGTTAATGTAAGGTAATCATTAATTCCAAGAAACAACCTAAAAGGTCACTTTCAGTTTTTTGTAACCAAAAATTTATTTTAATTCCTAACCTTAAAATCAACATGTATTACTCTGAGGCATACTGCTAGTCCCCTAAAAGGAGAATATCTAAAGATTTACATTTTGAATACGAGTTATCTTTTTAATTATACTTTTCAATAAAAACCCCAAACTCAAAATTCCTTAACTCTAATCCGATTTAATTTATAGTAATTTATAATCTGATTTGACTTAAGTTTTATAAATTTAACAAAATATAAAACGCACATAAAATAAGAATCTAAAATGTTTAAGAATTAGCTAAAATAAGGGCTGGAGCAATAGCACAGCGGTAGGGCGTTTGCCTTGCACGCAGCCGACCCGGTCAATTCAATTCCTCCACCCCTCTCAGAGAGCCCGGCAAGCTACCGAGAGTATCTCGCCCGCACAGCAACGCCTGGCAAGCTACTCGTGACATATTCGATATGCTAAACACAGAAACAACAAGTCTTATAACAGAAACGTTACTGGCTCTGCTCGGGCAAATCGATGAACAACGGGAGGACAATGCTACAGTGCTACCTAAAATAACACATTTCCAGGTTTATTTTTTACTATAAAAATAACTGATGATGTACTAAGAGCTTTTCTTCCAAACAACGTTTCTCAAAAGATAACAGTAATCAAGAACTGATTAAAAAAAAAACTATTAACTTATATTTGCAATTATATATTCATTCTTCTTCTACATCCATTAACTAGGATAAGTTTGTTACTTGTCTTCAAAATTAACCTCAAAAAAGTAAATAAATAGTAGTACATCATAAGATGAAATATTAAAGTTTAAAAATAAGTGTCAAAGAATTCTTAATGATGTGGGAAGATGTGAATGATGTTACATGACAGAAACATGATCAAATTATATGCAAGTATAATATCAACTATATTTCTAAAACTAAAGACAAGAAAACTTTTTTTTTTTTTTAAGTCATACCCCATGGTATTCAAGGACTATACTATTCCTGCCTAGTTGCAGGGGGGAGGGGCAATCACAATGCTGGAGGTACTTGGAGGACCGTGTAGTTCTGGGGTTCAAACCATGGCATCTCAGATGCAAAGAATGCACTCAAGCCCTTTGTGTCATGTCCCTATGCCCAGAGGGAAAACACCTCTTTAACAGCAGTTACTTCTAGAAATGTATGATTTGGGGTGATTCTGTTTATTCCTTTGCCGTTGTCAAGTTTTTGTTTTCCTTTTCTATAGTGGGCAAATAATACTTTTAAAGTTAGATGGTGAATTTTAGATTGGAATCACACAAAACAACCTGCAGCTGTTTCATAAGCCAGGCAGGGGTCAAGAGTTATCCTTTATACCAACTTAACTTAAAGTTGCATAACCAGCACAACTTAAAGTATATTTTAAAAAATGTCTATTATACTCCTACATTTAAAAAAATAAAAATAAAATATGTCTATTTGGTATCCATTTTCAAAATGCCTTTGAATCATGAGAGTGAAGCTGACATTTTTCTCAGGGTTTCTACCACCAGAGACATCACAGTCTGTATGTTAGTTTAATTTTTTAGTCCTTTGTGTGTGTGTGGAGGGGAGGGAGGGCAGGCACACCTGACAGTGCTCAGAAATTACTCTTTACTCTGTGCTCAAGGATCACTTCTGGTAGTGCTCAGGGGACCATATGTGGTGTCAGAAACTCAACCTAGGTCAGCTATGTGCAAGACAAGGCAAGTGTTTTACCCCATGCCGTATCTCTTGGGTCACACCCAGTGATACTCAGGGATTACTCCTGGCTCTGCACTTAGGCATTACTCCTGATGGTGCTCAGGGGATCATACGGGATTCCGGGGATGGCTGCATGCAGGCAAACACCCTACCACTATACTATCGCCCCAGCCCCAAATTTACAGTTCTTTAAAAAAATTTTTTTTTCTGAGGGGCCAGAGCAATAGTACAGTGGGAAGGCTCTTGTCTTGCACATGGTCAACTCAGGTTTGATCCCTGGTATCCCATGTGGTCCCAAGAGCCTACAGGAGTGATACCTGAGTGCAGAACCAGTTGCAAGCCCTGAGTACCACTGGCTGTGGCTCTCTCCACAGTTCCCCCCTCCCCCCAAATAAAATCAAGCAGCTTTTTCCTTGGGGTAGGGGCAGACACTCCAGGAATACTTGAGGACCATGTGGTACGAAGGATAGAATATAAACCATGTGCTCTAGACCTCTGAGTCATCTCCCTTTCCTGCGGCAAGTAGATTTTAGGAATTTCCTTATGTATTTTGTGATGGTCTAGTTCCAGTTGTCTTATGGTATACTTGAAAAGCTCTCCAAAAGACCCAGGAGACAACTGGAGGGACTGGAGTGCATGTGTGGCGTGAACAGGGCCAGGTTTTCTCCTCCCGGCATCATGAAGTGTAGCCCTGATGGCTCTCAGAATTGCTGGAGAGTCCACACTCACCCTGCCCCAAATCTCACAGGCAGCCATTAATTTTAACTTTGAAAACTTCCGAAGAACCAGAGAAACAGCTCAATGAGTTAGGCGCATGATTTGCAGCAGGAGGTCCAGGTTCCACCCACAGTACCACATGGTCCCCTAAGCATAGCTGGGAGTAGCTCCCAAGCAATACACTTGAAACTAAGAAGGAAGAAACTACTTGCAACAAACACATCCAATAGAATACAGAAAGGAAAAGGACAAAGAGGGAAGATATTGGGGAGGAGGAAACACAGAGAGCAGGAGATTCAAACTTTAGAATGTGCCTGTCAAGGAGGCAAGTGTGTGTGTATGTGTGTGTGTGTGTGCGCGTATGCATGCATGCATGTTTGTGTGTGTGTGTGTATGTGTGTGTGCGCATGCTTGTGTTTATGTATGTGCGTGTGTGTAAGCACACGCACTGGGGGGCTGGGGCAAGTTGACATTGGTGGTGGGGTTGATGCTGGAATACCACATGCATAAAACTCAACTATGAATAACTTTGTAAACCATGGTACCTTAAAAAAAAAACACATCTACTAAGGGACTGTTATTTAGAATATACAAAAAAACTCAAATCTCAACAAAAAGAAAGCAACAACCACTCCATTAAAAATTAGAGAAAATGAGCTTGAAAGTCAGTAGTATAGCAGGCAGGGCACTTGCTCTGCATGTGGCAGGCCCAGGTTCAATCCCCAATATCCCACGTGATCCCCTAAGCCCCCCTAGGAGTGATCCCTGAGCACAGAGCCAGGAGTAAGCCCTGAGCACCGACAGTTGTGGCCCCCAAAACATAACAAAAGAACAGTAAAGAAATCAAATAATTATTTCATACGGGTCTATTATATATCTGTCATTAGAATATATTTTATGAATGTATAAAACAGCTCTGACAACTCTGATCTGAAAAAGCTGATAATCTAGCAAAGAGATATTTGCTTTCTTCTCAGATCTATAAATAACTAAGATATCAGCAAGTTCAATCTCTCTCCATACTCCCACCACATTAGCAAATCTTCCAAACACTCCTTTCTTTTTTTTTTTTGGCTTTTTGGGTCTCACCCGATGATGCTCAGGGATTACTCCTGGCTCTGCACTCAGGAATTACTCCTGGCGGTGCTCAGGGGCCCATATGGTATGCTGGGAATCGAACCCGGGTCTGCCGCGTGCAAGGCAAACGCCCTACCCACTGTGCTACCGCTCCAGCCCCCAAACACTCCTTTCTTTACTCTTCTTTCACTTGACATTTTCTTTCTATTTATTCAGCTCACTTGACATATTTATCCTTTTGTTTATTGTCTGCTCACTTAAGTCTCTTCTTCCACTTTTGTTTTTGGTTTTGTTCTGCACCTGGTGGAGCTCAGGGTTTACTTGTGGCTCTGTGGTCAGGGATCAATCCTGGCAATGCTTGGGGGACAAGATGGGATGCCAGGGAATGAACCCAGGTTGGTCTCGTGCAAGGCCAGCACCCTACCCACTGCATTATGTCACTGGGCCTTGCTTCCCATCTTGTAAATGAAAAGTACCAGGACAGCTGAAAATCAAAAAAGGATTTCTTACACAACATGCCAAGATGGCAAGAGAAGGACCAGAAAAGATATTATTCTAGCAAAGGACAATAGTAGACATCATAGTAAAATGACTGATAAACCTAAATTTAAATTATCATAGCAAAATGGCTAATAAATTTATCTAGTAACAATAACAAAAAGCTAATTTTAAGAATTAACGTCCTGCAGCTAGGGAGTACAGGAGGAGATAAGGTTATCACCTTGCATGCTTCAATGCCATCAGTCTTCTTGAGCACCAGGAATAGCCCCTGAGCACCATCAAGTATAGTCTAACACCAACCTCAAAAGGTTAACATCCTTTATGCTAAACAAAATAGCAAAGATTAAAATATAATCATAAGGGGTCAGACCAATAGTACAATGGGTAGGGTGTTTGCCTTGTATGCGGTCAATCCAGGTTCAATCCCTGGCATCCCATATGGTCCCTAGAGCAATGCCAGGAGTAATTCCTTTTTTTTTTTTTTTTGGTCTTTTTCTGTGAAACCCGGCGATGCTGAGGGCTTACTACAGACAATGCACTCAGGAATTACTCTGGCCGTGTCGAGGGATCATATGGGATGCCAGAGATCAAACCCTGGTCGGCTGCGTGCAAAGCAAATGCTCTACCCACTGTATTATCACTCTGGTGCCCAGGAGTAAATTCCCAAGTGCAGAGCCAGGAGGAACCCCTAAGGATCACTGGGTGTGACCCCAAAAGAAGAAAAAAAAAAACCCTGTAATACTGAATGCTACATAAATAAAAAAATTCTTGACTCATATATTAACATTCTTCAAATCAAAGATTTGTATCTTGGGATTGGAGCAATAGCATAGCGGGTAGGACGTTTGCCTTGCACACAACCAACCCAGGTTCGATTCCCAGCATCCCATATGGTCCCCTGAGCACCACCAGAAATAATTCCAGAGTGCCTGAGCCAGGAGTAACCCCTCTGCATCGCCAGGTGTGACCCAAAAAGCAAAAAAAAAAAAAAAAAGGATTTGTATCTTTTGGTCCAAAAATTCTAAGAAACAGTGTTATTCATACTATAGAAATATGGAGAAAATTGTATATGTTGATAAAATTACAATGTTAACACTACAAGCCATCTGAGAAACAGAAGCTAAATATTCAACAGGGAAAGGGCTCAATTAATAAACTACATACATACATAAAACTAATACAAAGAGAGTAGAAATAAACACACTTTGGTCCAGAGATACAGTACAGAAGTGAAGGCACTTGGCCTTGTATGTGGCCAACAGTGGTTTGATCCCCGGCACTTTATATGGTGTGACGGGAGCTCAGAGCATCAGGAATAGTCTCTGAGCACCACCAGGTGTGTCCCAACACCCCCATCCTCCACAATAAATAAAACTTGCCTTCTAACTTGTTTTATCCCTTAGCCCCTCCAATACATCCAATTAAGAAAACAACAACAACATAGAAAGAAACTTTCAAAGTTATACTTGAGAAGCACTCTCATTGTTAAAAAAGAAATTTTGAATGGTTCACAGTGCCAATGGAGACTGAAACTAAACACATGCACAGTCCAAATTCACAAAGGTTTACCTGCAATTTTGTACCCTGCCCTCAAACCCTTTGTAGATTAACACTATTATATTCTAATAAATCAAGAATTTTAGCTGTAATTAAAAAAACAGTTCAATCTTGTAAAATCATTTAAATATGGAAGCAGCACAGATCATTTTGATGACCAATTATAATATTCAACAACTAGTTAATTCTCCATGACCCTCCCCGCGCCATAAACAAAAACACTTACCTTTCCTGAAACAGATTCCCCATCATAAAAAAGATAGTGTTTTTCCACTTTTCCATCTTCAGTTTTCATTTCTGCCATTTTCCTGGTTTCCCCATCATTAAGGACAACATCAATCTCACAAATGGGACCAAAGAAACCTCCAAGAAAACTCTAAAAAGGAAAATGATCACAATCATGTCTCATTGGTTACTACATTTCCTAAAATTTATTTTTTAAACAACCTGCAAATCTGTAAGTCCTAAGAAGTTACAACACATTCTCTTATCAAAACCCAATTTAGTAAAATATGCATATAGTTTTACTATAGCTACATACAGTTGATACTCTATTGACCACATAAAAATTTAAGCCGAAGCACACTGTGAGATCAGTGGTACAGCACCTGCCATACATATTCAAAGACAGAAGTTTTACCCCTTCATCACTGAAGATGATGAAGGGCATCACCACTGCCCTTCATTATCTAGTGAGAACACCAAGACGCTGCTGGGGCAGGCCCCAGCACCGAAAGAGTAACATTCAACGTGCCTGAGCTCAGCAATGAAGTGCTTGAGTTCCAAACACTGCAGCAGCAACAATGAAAGGGTGAAAATACTTTTTAAACATTTTTTTTAAAGAAAATAAATTCAGGTTATATATTTCACGATTTAAAAAAAAAAGTGGGGAGGGGGAGGCGCCAAGGAGGCAAAAAGCACCTGGCTTACAGGTCTGAGTCCACAAGTTTGATCCCTGGTACCACCCACAAGTGCTAGCTGAGGCCAAGGTGCATCTGCTATGTGGGATTCCTGGTGCCCTAGCAGAGGCGAGGGCCCTCAGCCAGATATGTGTGAGCACAACTAAAGTGCTCGACACCCCTGAAGAGCACCTTAAACATAAGCTCCACTGTCGGGATGTGTGACCCCAGGGAGTACTATGACCAAGTGGGTGACTGATCCAAGTCACTGCGGTCACAGCAACAATAGAGGGGAAGGGGAAAGGAAAAGGAAAGCTCTCCCAACCACCCCACAAAATAAAAACCAACCAAACAAACAAAAAAACTATATAAATTTAAACATACCATTTCAACCATTTCCTAGAAATCTACTTTGTCTTGCATGTGGCTAGCCTGGGTTCAACCAGGAGGATCCCATGTGGTCCCCCTCCCAGGAATGATTTGTAAGCACAGTCCCAGGAGTAAGGTTTGAGCATAGCCCGAAAACAAAAAATCAAAACCCAAGTGTCCAAGAAGAGAAACTTGAATTTTACTCTAGATTATACAATGGCCAATGGAATAAGGCACAACTACCTACAAGGTGGATTTTGCATATATAATGTTAAGTGAAAGCGGGCATATACACTGTATGAGTCCATTTATTAAAAACAGGGGCTGGAGCAGCAGTACAGCAGGTAGGGCAGTACAGCAATAATACAGCGGGTAGGTCTTGCATGTGGCTGACCCCAAGCATCACCAGGAGTACTTTCTGAGTGCAGAGCCAGTGTAACCAATGAGCATCACTGGGTGTGGCCCTATAACAACAATATTATATAGTGTTAATACAGGAATCGTAAGTCAGGGAAATGGTGGGAGAAAGCACAAAGGATGCTCTCTGGGTGCTACTGTTTATGGATGCTAATGCTTAACTCTGTGTTTGATATAATCACTTTACAGAAAGTTAAAATGGGGCCAGAAAGATAGAATAGCAGGTAGGGCACTTGCCTTGCACAAAGTTAACCTGAGTTTGATTCCTGGCACCCCATATGGTCCCCTGTGCCCACTAAGAGTGATCCCTGAATGCAGAGCCAGGAGTAAGCCCTGTGCACCAAAGGGTATGGCCCAAAACAGAACAAAACAAATGAAGTTAAGCTGTATACTTATTTACAGGTGTAATCAATTTATAGAAAGTTAAGCTGTATATTTATAGGCTTTCCTACAACTACGTATATTTCACTTAAATGTTATTTTAAAAACACACACACATTATCCCCCAGTATAGACCACATACATCTGACTCCAGCCATCTCTCCAGCCATGCCAGCTCAAATCATTTAAGTTCAGCAAATTTCTTCTTGGCCCAGACCTTAATCTTTGCACCTCAGTTTGATTCATCTACATAAAGAGTTGTTTTCCAACTTCCTGATCAAAACTGGACTTCTCTAAATTCACTAAATTAGGTCCCACAATACTAAGCAAAGTTTTACTTCATTTTTATTGTAATTTTAGTGCTCACTTGAATGACTTCCCAGAAGAACCATCAACTCCCTGAAAACACCTAATCTTTTGTTCACCACTGAAAAGTCAGTGGCTAGGGGCAGCGTGCAGCATTTAGCAGAGGTTTTCAAATACCTCTTGAACATTTATTTGCACTAAGTCTCACATTTTCCTAATAAAAGAAATATGTCAGGAAATAATAGACATATAAATGAGTTAATATCTCAAACGTATGATAAGCCCTCCAGTAGAAAACTAGTACTGATGCAATATGTGGTCTAGAACCTAGCTAGCTTCTTCAAACTGTGGGTGGTGACCCCATATGGGGCTATTTAACTGAATACACTGGAGGATGGGGGAGTGGTCTTGAGAAATTTGGCAAGAAGGGTTTCTGAACACGACTACCACAGATTAGAAATCAACTGTGAAATTAATTCAAGGTGTTTCTGGCAGTGCTCATATGTGGGTTTTTTTTTTTTTTTTGGCTTTTTGGGTCACACACGGCGATGCTCAGGGATCACTCCTGGCAGTGCTGGGGGACCATATGGGATGTCAGAGATTGAACCTGGGTCGGCCACGTATGAGGCAAATGCCCTTCCCACTGTATGTCACTCAGGCCCAGAGTGCTCATCCATGTTGTATGTCTCAGAAAGGAATGGCAAGTGGGAAAAGATGAAATCCCAGTGCAGACCTGAGAACTTGCTTATGAAGTCTGGTCTGCCCTCAGAAGGCAGAATAACAGAAAGTAAAAACCCTCTTATGACTACTGAGGTGACTGAGTGGCTGAAAGACCAGGAGACATAGCGCTGTGTGTGTGTGTGTGTGTGTGTGTGTGTGTGTGTGTGTGTGTGTGTTGGGGGGGAGGGGAGGATTTGAAACTACACCTAACGAGCTCTGGTTTTAGGAAACCAGAGGTGCTTTCCTAAATTCAGAGCTTGCTTTTTATTCATTTAATATAGCCAATTTAAGGAATTGCTTGATAGAACTGTATAAGTAGTACTTTGATGTACTACTCCAAAGATACAAAAAGAAGTCTTTTCTTTCTGACATTTCCAGCTTTCCAGGCAACCTTAGAATAACAAACAACATTAATCAGAAAACTTCTGAAATAAGAATGAAAAACATCAGATAGGTCTCACATGCAGCCCCTTCCTAGTAAGCTCTTATATTCCAAATTATAAACTTAAAATTTGTTCAAATGGTAAATTTTTTCTAAAGGGCTACAGATATGAAAATGTAAAGCCATTCAAAATTCAGAAGCTGGGGGCCAGAGAAATAGTACAGCAGGAAGGGTGCTAGCCTATCCCTGATAATCCATGTGGTAGGTACCCCAAACTCACCAGGAGTGATTCCTAAGTGCAAAGCAAGGAGTAACCTCAAGCACTACCAACAAAAAAACAAAAAAATTCATGAGCTGATGTTTATCACTATGTGCAATGCACTGAGTCAGCAAAGAGGGGGCTCTTTTATGGGAGAAGCTTTCATGAAAGCCAGGTAGATGATACCCTCATTTGAATTACAAAACAGAAACAGAAAACACAAATTTATTTTCTCATTTCTACTTAATATTTTTCTGAGCTACTTCCAGGAAAAATGGGACTGCAAACTATAAAAATTATTTTTAATACTAGATAAAAGGAAACACTGTTATCTATCCCCGCGCTCCCCCAACACTCTCCTATTAATACATACTTGAACTTGGAATTGAAAAGCCAAGAGTCTTTTTTTTAAGTAATTAAAAACTAATGAAAACAGTGGCCCTAGAAATAGTACTGTGGTTAAGGAACTTGCCTTGCATGCAACTCACCCTCCATCCCCAGCATCAAATATAGTACGCAGAGCACCACCGGGAGTGATCCTAGATCAGAGGCAGGAGTAGCCCGAGTACAGGCAGGTGTGGCAGCAAACCCACCTCCCCCAGACATACACACGTAAACACATACAAAAATTGCTTACTATGTGCCAAGGCATTCGCTATAAAATATCTATCTAGTAGAGAACATGCCTAACAATAATGGATTGAGTAATAAAGGAAAGTGCTTTAACAAGACTAGGTTAACCACACCATGAGAAGCTATCACTTGCTTAAAACCAATTTATACTAAGATACATCAAAAATCAATGCAGTGTTACGAACACCTACAGAAAACTGTGGCTGCCTTACACATAACAAGTAGACAACAGGAAAAAAAAATACAGAAAAAAAAAACCCTGCCTTGTTTACCTTCTGAAAGTTTACAAAAATACTGTCTACTCAGAGGCTTGACTTTTTAAGTTTTTATTTCAAGACATGGATTTTCTGGTCTTTGCTTGTTTGGGGGCCACACTTGGCTGTGCTCAGGGCTTGCTTACTCCTGGCTCTGCACTCCAGGAGTACTCCCAGTGGTGCTTTGTGCTAGAGGGACCATAGGTGGTGTCTGGGACTGAATTTGTGTCCAGGATTGAACCCAGGTCAGCCGCTGCACAAGGCTAAGTGCTTTAGCCACTGCGCTCTCTCTCTGGCCCCAAGATGTGCATTTTCTGTCATTCTAAGCAAGAAGTTATTTAGTTTTTGTTATTAACAATCACATCAGGATACTTCTGACGTAAAGAAGAAATAAAATAGACTTAAGCTGGTATGGAAGACAAAGAGGAAGAAAAGGAATAAAAACGGAAAGGGGGCCAGAGCGACAGTATAGCATATAAGGTGCTTGCCTTACACTGGAAGACTGGGGTTCTTTTTTTTTTTTCTTTTTGGAAAGGCAAATGTATAGAAATTTATTTAATTCCAATTCTTAGGTTTTTTTTTTAATTTTTATGAGTGAGACACCATGAGGTACAGTTGTAGACTTACAAATTTTTGTGCTTGGGTTTCAGTTATACAATGATCGAGTACCCATCCCTCCACCACTGCCCAATTCCCACCACCACCACCACGGATCCCAGTATCCTTCCCACCTCCCCTCCGACACTGCCTCTGTGGCAGGGCATTCCCTTTTGTTCTCTCGCTCTCTTATTGGGTGTTGTGACAATCCTGTTCGGTCTATTGTCTACTTTCAGCATGCTTCTCCCATCCTGGGAGGATCCTCCCAACACCTTTATTTGGTGCTCCCTTCTCTATCAGAGCTCCCTTTTCCCCTAGCATGAAGACTGGGGTTCTATCCTGGGCATCCCATATGGTCCCCAGAGTATGCCCTGAAGGACCCCTGAGGCAGAGCCAGGAGTAAGCACCAATCACCTATGTATGGTGCGGCCCCAAAACAACAAAAAAAATTGAAAAGGGAGTTAGGATACATCTATGTAAATATTTACTGAAATAACAGGAGGCAATCTGAGACCTTTTAGGTATCAGACAACTACTCAGTTTTTCGGGGGGAAAAGGTATCTTTGAGCATTTAGTGTATGGTATTTTCCAGGAGCAATCCCAGACAAGACACAAGGTAAGACTGTTCTTATTTTTCAAGCGCCCTGCCGGACATGCTATCTCTCCAGCCCCTAAGGTTAAAGTCTTTGCTAGTTTCTAAAGGACCAGGCTACATAGGTCATGACTAGTAAAACACTGCGACTATTTTCAGTTTTCCAATGGGGGCCTGGAACCAGGTCAGTGGCTGCAGGTCAACTTCAGAGATTCCATATCATCTGTAAACCCCAGACTCAGTCCTAATCACCGTCTCTCTAGAAAAGTAACATGTGGATACGTAGAAAGACAAACTTCTTAGCGCTCCCTGGAGAAATCTCTCAAGGCACAGTGGACGTAGAGCAACGCAGCTTTGGAAGGGTGCGAAAGAGGCGCTCGAATTCTCTTGTTTGCCCCTTATGAAATAGCAAATTTCCATTCCTCGATCACATCGGTGCCCACTTCAACGGTACCACGCTCTCCAGGTCAGTCTATGCAGGATGAGGAACCCGCAAGCAAAAGTAAACTGCTTCTGAATTCCAAATTTCAAGAACTGAAATGTCAGTACAAAACAAAAAAAAAAAAACGGAGAGAACTTAGGTGGGTTTTGTTTTTTTCTTTCCTGCGAATTGTATTTCAAGAAGCCTTGAGGCAAGTCCCCCCCGCACTTCCTTCTCCGACTCGACGACGGCCGCCGTCATTTCCACATCAAACGAATCGCTCCAGCGTCGGGCTCCGTCAGGCTTGGGAGCGGCAGGAGGAGCCCGTTTCGCCCCGTCCCGGGCACGAGGGGGAAGGCGCGCGCAGCGGCGGCATCGAAGGGGGAAGGAAACTCGGAGCCGGAGGAGGACGAGTCCGCCCTGGCGAAGCGGAGCAAAGAGAGGCCGGCGATCGCCGACTCGAGGTCCGACTGACTCCGAGTTTCGGAGAGAAAACCCGGCCGGGGGCGTCCGGGGAAGGCGGCGGCGCCACGCCCGCCCGCCACGAGCCCGCGAGCACCAGCCGAGCCGGGCCGGGCGGGACCCCCGGCGGGCGCTCGCGACCACGGGGCTCGGGGGGGGGGGAAACGCGGGCCCCGTCCCGCCCGTCCACGCCACAAGTGTCCACGCCCGCGCCGAGGCGGACGCAGGGTCGCGAGACCGCGCCGCCGCCGCCGCCGCCCCGGGCCGGGGGACCAGACCCCGCGCCGGCCGCCAGCAGCAGCGGCAGCGGCAGCCACGACGCCCCGGGAGCTCGTGACCCGCCGCGGGGACGCGCGGCTGACCCCGGGCAGAGGCGCCGCGGGGCCGGGACGCCAGAGCGCGACGCCGCCAACGCCGCCCGGGCCTCCCCGCGGGCCAGACCGGACCGGACCTGAGGGGACCTGAGGAGACCTGAGGAGACCTGAGGAGACCTGAGGAGACCTGAGGAGACCGGGCGGAGGCGGCGCCGCGGCCCCGCGGGCCTACCCGGCTCCCCGCGCGGCCGCCGCCCGCCGCGCCCGCCAGCGCCGTGGTCCGCCCCGGGCCGGGGCCGGGGCCGGGGCCGGGCAGCGAGCGCGCCCACCGCCGCGCACTCACCATGGTCAGCGCCGCCGCCGCCGCCGTCGCCGCGGCGTCCCCCCACTCCGCTCGGCTCCCCTCGGCGGAACTCCCGGCCGCGACTCCCTCCTGCGCCCAGCGCCCCGTCACGTGACCCCGGCCGGCCGGCCGCACGTGACCCGCCTCCCTTCCTCCCTCCGCCGCTCGCCCCGCCCCGCGCGGGGGGGGCGGGGGGAGGAGAGGCCGTTTGGAGGCGGGGCCTCGCCCTCCGCCCGCCTCCTCCGGCGCAGGGGGCGGGGCCACCGGGCGCCGCGGGGGGCGGGGCCTGGGGCTCCGCCGGGCCGCCCCGGGTCACGTGGCGGGCGGTGCGCGGTGGCTCGGCCACGCCCGCTTCCTCCCACTTCCGTAGAGATGCGCGAGTCTGGGGGCGGCGTGCGCGTCAGGAACGTTTTCCGGACGCGTTGCAGAGCCCCGATGTGTCCTCTGAACTCAGCAATGAGGTCTTCTCGGGGCTAGGAGGACACTGAAGAGGGCGCTTACCTTGGAGAGCGGCGAGTCCAGGTCCGATCGGCGGCTTTCCTTGGGGTCCCCACCCTGGACCCCGGCTGGAGTGATGCCCGAGTGCATTTAGGGTTATGGGTGATTTAGCATTGGCAGATACGGGACGTTTTAATTTAGCATTGACAGATACGTAATTTAGCATTGGCAGATATGGGACGTTTCTTGACTCAACCCAGCTCCCTCCCCCTCTTGGAGCTGGTGGTTTTGAGCACTTGCAACTCTTACCGCCTCTGATCTGTCCCTCCCCCAGGTGCAGGGACTCCTCCTGAGCTGTAAGGGACGCAGATCATCGGACACCGCCCTGCCGTTCTGTCCCCAGTGACAACTGGCTGCAGGTTTGGCACTAACCGCACCTTGATCGCTAGGAAAATCACCAGATGAATGAAATCCCCTTTTAGGATTTCAAACGTACCTAGAACTTGACTGCCTGTAGTCGAGGTGATTCCCGCAGGGCTCATGAAGCAAGGCTCACATTTTAAAAGAGACTTAAGAAGAATCTCCGGCCACTGTAGAATTCAATTAGAAACTCTCAACAAAGATAGCAGAAACTAAGCAGTGTAATTCTAAACTTAAGTCAAAGAAGACGCCTGGGCAAAGTTCCAAACTACAACTCAATAACAAACGTTAAATTGCTTAATTAAACATTAGGCAAAGGATTTCAACAGACATCTCCCCAAATACGACTCTGTTTACAAATTAATTTGTATATGAATGTTCGACAAGCACAGTGAAAAGATGTTCAACAAGCAGGATGTTCAACAAGCACAAGGAACATCACTAATCATAGGAGCGATGCAAATCAAAACCATGGCAAATTGCTTCACACCCATTTGAATGTTTATTACTAAGAACAAACAAACACGTAAATTTAAGTAGACAAGGAAGAGACCCGGGAACCGAATGTTAGTGGAACTGCAAAATGGTGGTCATCATGGACAGTAGAATGGAGATTCTTCTAAAGCTTGAGAAGGTGCTGGTAATGTAGCCCAATGACAGGAACCCTGCTTTGAGAAACACTAAAAAAAAGTATAGAAATTCTACTTCAAAATCTAGAAATTCTACTTCGAGGCTTATATAAACCAATCAAAAGATGGATCTCAAAGAGATTTTCACACCCATGGTCAAAACTCATATGAGTAATCACATTCAATTATGATATTCAAGAGGTTGGAGAAACAGAAAGGTTCATGGATAGATGAATGGAATGTCATTCAGTATTCACAAAGTGAAGAAGGGCTCAGCAAAGATAATACAGGGAATACGCTGTGACTTGCACCCTGCCACCCGCAGTTTGAATCCCTGTCATCTCATATGGTCCCACTGAGCACAGAGTAAAGAATAGCCTCTGAGCAACACTGGGTGTGACACCCCCCCCCCCAAAATTACCCAAGGTTTTTTTTTTCTGGCTTTTTGGGCCACACCTGGTGTTACTCAGGGGTTACTCCGGCTCTAAACTCAGGAATCATTCCTGGTACTGTCTGGGAGACCATATGGGGTGCCGGGAATCAAACCCATATCTGCCAAGTGCAAGGCAAATGCCCTATCTTCTGTACCATCTCTCCAGCCCCAACACGGCGTTTGTAAATAAACACAAGATGAAACAAAATTTGAACAATCCTACATAATTTTGAATAAGTTGTATACAAAATTAAAGACTTCCCCATTCCAAGACACCTCGGGTCATTGAATTCACTGGTAAATTCTACCAAACTATAAGACAATAGAAGAGGGGACTGGCGAAATAGCACAGCGAGTAGGGCGTTTGCCTTGCACGCCACTGACCCGGGTTTGATTCCCAGCATCCCATATGGTCCCCCGAGCGCTGCCAGGAGTGATTCCTGAGTGCAAAGCCAGGAGTAACCCCTGAGCATCGCTGGGTGTGACTCAAAAAGAAAAAAAAAAGACAATAGAACAATTTTGCCCCAAACTTCTTAAGAGACTAGAGAAAAAAAGAACACTTACCAACACCTTTCCTGAGATAGACTCCTGATTCTAAATGTAACTAGGGCTTGTGAATATAGCTAAAGGAGCAGGTGAAAGCATGTTTTGGTTCCTGATGGGAGTAACTTCCTGAGCACCAAACTGGGAATAACTTCTAAGTACTGCTGAGTGTGTCTCCCCTCACACACACACATACACAAAAGATGACAAGAACATATTAAGAAAGAAAATCACATGCCAGGATTCTTCAGAAACTTAATTGCAAAAATTCTAAACAAAGTTTACAAAGCAAACATTTTGGTGAAAATGGTGATCTGTGGATGAATCCTACGTTATGTTTACGTGGGATATTTAGCATCTTCTTGTATAATTATAAAATAACATTTTTTGTGGGGGTGTTGGTTTTGGTTTGGGGATTGTACCCGCTGGTGCCCAGAGCTTATTCCTGACTCTGTGCTCAGGGATCACTCCTAGTGGTGTGCTTGGGCGAACCATATGCAGCAATGCTGTTTGCTTTTTTGTTTAGTTTTGGGGGCACACCCAGAGGTGCACAGGTCTTACTCTTGGCTCTGTGCCCAGGAATCACTTCTGTTGGTGTTTGGGAGACCGTATGGGGTGCCGGAGATTGTACTCAGGTTGACTTTATACAAGGTAAATGCCCTATTCTCTGTATTATCTATCTAGTCCTCCCCCACAGATATATGGGGTCAGGTTTGATTGTGAAGTCTAGGGAAGTTGTTGGAAATCTAGTGAGCGGAGATCAGAAATGCTGCTAAATGACCTTCATGCACAGGACAGACCTTCACCTCAGAGGAGATATCCTGTCCAAAATGTCGATCACAGCAAAATGAGCAAGCCTGCATTAGTATTAACACAAGCAGCTAATAGATTTCTGAAAGATCAATGGTATTAATATTTTAAGTAGTGGCTTGAACGATCAAAGAGTCTATATGCTGAGAGAATGGAAAGAGGAGGCTTCTGCAGAATCAATCACTCCCTTCTCTTTGCTAGTCTAGAGTTATGTCTATCATGATTATGGAATGGGGGGAAATCTATAATTCAAGATGTATTCCAGTTATCTTCCGCCAACTACACTGTCGTAGTGTCAGCTGTTTTCTCCTTGTGTCTCAGTCTCTGGTAGGACTGAGAATATAGGAAAAAGGGACTGTTGATTAGAAAACTTCACAAAAATACAAATGAGAAGAATCCCCAACTCCTCTCCCTCTGGCAAATTCTGTATAATTATTATAAACGATTCATTTACAAATAGAAGCCAAAAGGTAAAAGAATGAGGTGGTTTGTTGTTTTTATTTTCTTAGTCACATATGGTGTTGCTCAGGGATTACTTCTGGCTCTGTGCTCAGGAATCACTCCTGGCAGGTTTGGAGACCTCATGGGGTGCTGAGGATTAAACCCTGGTCAGTCGCATGCCAAGCAAGTGCCCTTCCCGCTGTACTATCGCTCCAGCTCCAAAGAATGAGAATTTGAAAGAACCTATGTGGACCACATGCTATTTCTCCCAGTGTACCAAAGAGTATCCCATCTATAATCTTCTTTTTTGCCAGGCAAGTCTAACGCACTATATTCACTCTTTTCAATCCTTGTTAGTCTCTGAACTCAAAGACAAAGACCATCTGGTGTGTCTTACCTTTCTGCTGTATCTCTAGCACTTAGTAGAGTGTCTGTTTGGTATAGATGGACGTAATCTTTAAAATAATTTTACAAAATAGCTATAGCATACTTTTATGGTTTTTAAAGGGCCTCAGTATGTCCCAGGCACTGAGTAATTATTCTTTATGAATTATCTCACTCAATTTTCATAGGCACATTGTTAATCTATAATATAAAACAGTACTTTTGTTTATTGATCCCTAGCTCAATGACACTATTTCAGTTTACCTATGCACTATATATGTGTGTATATATGTATATATCACTTGATCACTTGATCCCCCGTTATTCATCGAATTACTCGAGCGGGTGCCAGTAACATCTCCATTCATCCCTGTTGCGTGCTAGCGTAGCCCAATGGCATCTGTTCGTTCTAGGAACATGCAGAGCCTCAAACCGATCATTCAGGGTCTTGACGAAGAAGTCTGACCATCTTGTAGGTGGGCGTCCACGTGATCTTTTGATGTCCCATGGAATCCAATCAGTAATGGCTCTAGTCCAGCGGTTGTCTGTAAACCTCATTACGTGTCCAGCCCATCTGATTTTGATGTCTTGGCAAATGAGACAGCGTCCCTGATTCTTGAGCATTGATGAAGATCAGAACTCCGGATTCTATCTCTCATTTGAGTGAATCGTGATATTCCAAGCATAGCTCTTTCGATTCCTCTTTGAGAGACCCGAATAGTGTTCTCATCCTGTTTTCATAGGGTCCAGGTCTCTGAGGCATATGTTAATGCAGGAAGAATAGTGGAATCAAAGAGATGTGCTCATAGCTGGAGGTTCTTTGTCCTTTTAGTTATTTCTTCAATGCTCTTGAAGGCATTCCAAGCCGCTCTCTTCCTCCTGCGCAACTCAGGTGCCAGGTCATTCATCATGTTGATTTCTCGACCTGTGTATATATAACTGTTGCATTCGGAGATGGTGGTTCTGTTGAGAGCGAATGGAGCGTCAGGAACAAGGCTATTTCTTAT